AGCATTAATTCATTCCTGTCCAGTTATTAAAATAAGAGAGGCCTTAAAGTGTCCCTCTGGAATAAATGGTATGTGGTAATTGCCTAACACCCTAGCAGGCTGTGAGGTACAGTGCTTTCAAAAGAGAGGCATTGGGCTTCCCTGGTGGCGCAGTGGTTGAGAGTCTGCCTGCCAATGCAGGGGACGCGGGTTCGTACCCCGGTCCGGGAAGATCCCACATGCCGCGGAGCTGCTGGGCCCGTGAGCCATGGCCGCTGAGCCTGCGCATCCGGAGCCTGTGCTCCGCAACGGGAGAGGCCACAACAGTGAGAGGCCCGCGTACTGTAAAAAAAAAAAAAAGAGAGGCATTGTTCTTATGACTAAAAATTATTTCATTCTTCAGTATTTCCATTTGGTTCTTCGCTGATGAATAGCAGTAGAAGTTGACTTGGCCAAGCTGTGCCGGATAGGCCTCTTTCACAAATATCCACAGTCAAGAGTTCAGTGGGAAGGCAAAACCTCTTCTGCTATGTGTGTTCCAGGAATGGTTATAGAGCCCCAAGGGAATCTTCATTAGACTGACAGCTGTATTAAGGCCTGCAGTGTGTTACAACATCCTAGGAAACATACCAAAGATATACCAAGTTGTAAAGAGTATAGTATGCACATCTATTTGTACAGATGCTGAAGAAACAAAATGTACAATGGTTTTTGTCAAGAATATTTTCTGGAGTTGAATTTTAGATTAACTTGTATAGGAAATGAGGTACATGGTGGGGTGTGGTTACAGATAAAGGAAGAGACTTAGAAGAGCAGAGTTCAGATATTTTTATGTGTGGGAAATGAGACATGGGGTCTAGAATCACACACTGCTTAATATTTGTAAGTGTGAAAGGCATGTTTCGAACCAAAATGACTTCCCCCTTTCTTTTACACATTTATTCACCCTAAGATAAATTAATTAGCATGAGAATTTGGAAATATCAATTTTAAATGTTCATGCTCTGATCTAGCATTTTTATTACCTAAAACCTTAGAATTATTTGTACAAGGGCACACGATTTACATTTAAAGATTTGATTGCAGCGTTAGACAAATTGGTGAAAAATTGGAAACCAAACTTTCTAAAGGTCTTTAAAACAGCATCCTCAGATATAGCAAAAGAACTGTCAGGGAAAGATGAAGGAATTGGAGATTTTTTTTGGACTTTTCTGTGATGTGGTTATTTTATTCTCATAGTGGAAACAAACATTGAAACCCTTAAGTTTCAGTTAAAAGTGTCTTACACATGCTTAAGATGGATGTATTGCAGGTGAGACAACAAAGTTGTTGATTTCTTTTCCTTGTTCTAGTAGAGCATCTTGTCCTCTTTTTTGGTGATTCAATTTTTTTTTTTTTTTTTTTTTTTGCGGTACGCGGGCCTCTCACTGTTGTGGCCTCTCCCATTGTGGAGCACAGGCTCCGGACGCGCAGGCTCAGCGGCCATGGCTCACGGGCCCAGCCGCTCCGCGGCATGTGGGATCTTCCCGGACCGGGGCACGAACCCGTGTCCCCTGCATCGGCAGGCGGACTCTCAGCCACTGCGCCACCAGGGAAGCCCCTTGGTGATTCAATTAAATGCATCTTTTTTGGTAAATTTTTAAATTGAGGTATAATTGATGTACAACATTTTCAGGTGATCCAATATTTGTATAGACTGCAAAATGATCACCACAGTAAGTATAGTTAGTTAACATCCATCACTGCACAGTTAAAAAAATTTTCTTAAGTGTGATAAGAACTTTTAAGATCTACTCTTAGCAACTTTAAAATGTGCGATACAGTATTAACTGTAGTCACCATGCTGTACATTACATCCCCAGGGCTTATTTTATAACTGGAAGTTCGTACCTTTTGCCCTTCTTTACGTCATTTTTTTTAACATCTTTATTGGAGTATAATTGCTTTACAATGGTGTATTAGTTTCTGCTGTATAACAAAGTGAATCAGGTGTAATTATACATATGTCCCCATATCTCCTCCCTCTTGCGTCTCCCTCCCACCCTCCCTATCCCACCCCTCTAGGTGGTCACAAAGCACCGAGCTGATCTCCCTCTGCTATGCGGCCGCTTCCCACCAGCTGTCTATATTTTACATTTAGTACTTTACATCATTCTTAATCTTTAGTTTTCCTTATTCAAAATAAAGAAAAATGTTCATGGACTGTCTCTCATGCCCCTTTCAGCATGTTGATGATCAAAGGCTTAAGCTTTTACCACCTACACATTACTAATTTTTTTGACTCATGGAAGTCAAACCAACACAGATGGAGAAGAGTGATACAACCAGGGAAGGGAGCACTTCCCTGAGAGCTCTACTGGACATTTTTCTTAACAGTCATTCCTGCAGGTCTATGTATATTGCAAAGTACACCCATACCTGTTGGAATTGGGGTATATACTCACTTTTTGTGAACATGGCTTAGGAGATAGAGAAGCCCAGGTTTGAATCTTGGCTCCAACACCAGTCATTATATGACCTTGTGCAAGTAATCTCTCTGGCTCGGTTTTCTCATCTTTAAAATGGGAATGCTCTTAGTTTCTATCAGTTGGATCAGTTGTGAGGTGTAAATGCACAGAAGCTCACACAGGGGAGACTCACAAACTCTCACCACAAAGGACTGCTGTGTGCACCTGCCCCCTGATCATAGTTATCTTCCTCCTAAGCCTGAGTTTTTACCTCAGCATGCTTTTTACCCATCTTCCACTAATAAAAAACACAAATGTTCCATGAATGTCTTAACTGGAATTCCATCGTTCTGTGTGGACTGAGTGGGAACCTTTCTGTATGATAATTCGATAATATTTATTAGTTTTAAATGTTCAGGCCCTTTGACTCAGTAGTGCTAAGAATTTATGCAGTAGAGGTACTTGTACAAGGGCACACAATTTTTTTGTACAAAGATTTGATTGCAGCATTACAAATGCGTTAGTTGACAATTGAAAACTATACACATACATAACAGGGATGAGATCGATCCGCTGTTGTGTCTCCCTCTGAAGGAATACAGTTCATAGAATGAGGTAGGGATGTAGGAATGACACAGGAAGATATCCAACGTGTATTAAAGTAAAACAAATGAGAACATGTTATTTGCAGTAGGCTCCCATTTATTAATGTTTTATTTCATAGACTTTCCTCCATGAAACACGTCTGCCTATCCTTTTCTAGTTTCCTGTTTTCCTTTTCACTGGGTTTTTGTCATTCTTCCTGTTTGGCTTGAAAACAAAAAATCAAATCTATTAGGGCTTGGCACTTCAAGTAACGAGTTGATTGCAGGGTTAACAGTTATTTGGTCAATGTAAGTTTTTCTGATTGATTTTGGTAATTCTAGACAAGTCGTGGACATGTTCAGATTTATTGACATTGTTCTTAGTTTTGTCTTGTGTGATATCCTTTCCTTTTTCTCATTCCATGTTTATAATTGGTAAATTGGCAAAAGGTTTTCCTTTTATTTAAAGAACCAGACCAGCCTTCTGTTATTACTAGTATTTTTATTTATTTAAAAAAAAAACCAAACAACTTTGCTTCAGAGGAAGGAAACTAAAGACAGAAAAACTTCCTACCAAATAGTGTGAGTAAGTGACGTCATGTGGAACAGCCTTCTGTTGAGGGTGTGTGGAGGGACGAAGAAGTGGAACGGCTGCTGCTGAGCATCAGGGTCCCTCTGGAGGTCTGTAGTGCTCAGGGCTCCGTGCTCTCTGCCTCCACGCTGAGCTTACAGGGAGAAGAGGGAGCTGTTACTGCCATTAGGAATTTGTGTGGTAAGAGCGGTGGTGTCATTTGGTGGAGCAATATTAAGTGGCACAAAATCTGTTTTAAATCTGTAAATTTGAGGAAAAACTGTACAGAGAAAAGTGATGTTTTAAATGCTAACACTTTCAGGATGAATGTGAGATCTTCTCGACCTGTTAGGTAAACTCATATCAACTTACTGTGGTGGTTTTTCCTAAAACTATCCTAATATTTCTAACAGTATGAGAATGCCCCTCTCCCTATGCCAGCGATACAGCCTGATTTGTATCCAGTAAGCATGTATGTCCTGTCTTTCTTTTCCAACAGCAGTCAGAAACAGAGACTGTCCATCTGTTCATCCCAGCCCTGTCTGTCGGCGCCATCATCGGCAAGCAGGGGCAACACATCAAACAGCTTTCTCGCTTTGCAGGAGCTTCTATTAAGGTACTGTTCTGCCAGCTGTGGCTCTCCTGGTGCTTTAAGGACAGCGAGTTACAGAAATGTGAGTCTTCCTGCCACTCTGTAATTTGAATTGAATGTGGCAGTCTATATTGGGGTTACCTAAGTGTGTGACAGAGAACTCCAAACAACACTAGCTTAAACAAGGTAAGTTAAATTCTCTCTCCAGAAAAAGTAGTCTGCAGGTACGCAATTTGGCGTTAGAATGGTGGTTCTGCCCCACCGCATTCCTGGATATATATTCCTTCTAGCTCATCTTCCCTGGGCGTGGCTTTGGTCCCTCACACTCCGAAATGACACTATTTAGTGCCCGAACAATCAAGGCTGTGGTCCTTTTAAGGAATATACAAATTGACAAAGGCTTGATAAAAGTCATAGCTTTCTTCAGGAAAACATCAGTCTATTGGGGGGTTTATTTTGGTTACATTTTATAAATATATATATATAAATAATTTTATTTTTGGCTGCATTGGGTATTCGTTGCTGCGCACAGGCTTTCTCTAGTTGCAGCAAGCGGGGGCTATTCTTCGTTGCGGTACGCGGGCTTCTCATTGCAGTGGCTTCTTTTGTTGCGGAGCACAGGCTCCAGGCGCGCGGGCTCAGTAGTTGTGGTGCACGTGCTTAGTTGCTCTGCGGCATGTGGGAATCTTCCCAGAACAGGGCTTGAACCTGTGTCCCCTGCATTGGCAGGCGGATTCTTAACCACTGTGCCATCGGGGAAGTCCAATTTTATAAATATTTAATGCAATTTTTAATTTGAATATAGTACCAAAAAAACCACACTGCACTCAAATGTTTATAGTATCTTTATTTATAACTGGGAAATGGGGAAGAAGCAAATGTTCATCAGTGGCAAATGCATAAACTGTGGCCCGTCTATATAATAATTACTTAGCAGTAAAAAGGAGGGAACTATTGATACATAAAACAACTTGAGTGAATCACATGTATTATGCTAAGAGAAAGAAGACTCAAAAGGCCACATACTGTATGATTCCACTTATATGAAAATTCTGGAAAAGAGAACTATGGAAATTGAGAAAAAAAAATCAGTGGTTGCTAGGAGTTGGAGGTGGAGGGGTTGAAAACAAAGGCAGCATGAGGAAATTTTGAGTGACAGAAGCTGTTTTTATGTTGATTGTGGTGGTATTTACAACTATGTATTTGGTACCAAAGGAGTGAGCGTTACTGCATGTAAACTACACAGTTAATAAAAAAGCAAAACACACAGGAAAGCCCTCATATTCTCTCTTGTAGCAAAAGATAAAATAACGTGAGCAGAAAATGCAGCCAAAATAAACAAATGGGTAAAGGAAAAGACATGATAAAAGACCAAGGGGTGAACTAACTTTACTATCCTGTTAGTTTCCTGATTACTGAGTTAATCTGTAAAACATGCTCACACATGCAAAAAGAACCTAGCAGCTTTGTTTTGGAAAAACTGCGACGAACATTTCATGAACTAGAAGAACTGGGTATTTAGACGTTTGGCTCTTTTTCTTTCTGGCTTTAATGGAGGTTTTATGATGAGGTTAAAATATTTTTGTTTCCAAAAAGTCTGAAACATGCATAATCTGAAAGATTCATCAGCACTCCTAACACTTTGCTACATTTCCATAATGTAAATTTCCATATATGTACTTACTTTAATAGGCATATATTTGGTATTACCAAATAATAATCATTTGTGTTAACTTACTGGACATTAAGATTGTTCCTAATTTAACCTGCACAGGGGTAGACAAAGTTCTTTTGGTCAAATTGTCATATATAACCTTATCCTTTAACGTAAGTCTACAAAAGTGGGTTTGGTGAGGCACAGGGCATGTGCTTTTTTCAGGCTTTTGAGAGATTGTAGCAATTTGTACTCCTAACCTCAGTGTACAAGTGTCCTCAGCCCCAGCCCTCTATCACCAGTGTTGACAAAGATCCTTTTTAAAAAAAGGAAACCTTAGTCAGAAAGATGAAGAATGATACCTTCTTTTTGGGGTTTCCTGTGAATAATCCTAAGAGTGTGGTCTAAAAGGAAGTAATTATTGGCTTGTTTTACAGACTCACAATTAGTGCCCAGCAATAAAGTAGCAATAGTATTAATTTGGGTCTAAGTAACAGAAATGTTAGCTTTATTTTGAGGGAGGAAGCATGAGTCTATTAAAAGTAAAAAACATTGTTTTGATTATGAAGGTGTGGAGAAGGGCCTACTAGACTATAAGTAATTGACAGTGATCATACTGAGTGGTAGTTGGGATGGCTTTTATTGTATTTTTTGCTTCCTGTTCTCATTATTTACTATAGGGAATTGCTTCTTGCACAGCAAATATCTAGCAAATTTTTTTCTTTTAAAACACTTCCTACCAGCCAACTCCCCAAATCCTTTCTTACTAAGGGAATGCTGGTTTCCTCTCCCTTCAACAGTCTCTGCAACAATTCCCTAGCCTAGGCTTTTTGTGTCATTTCATACGCTCTGCCAAAACAGAAGAGTCTGAGTTTACTTTTCTTCTGCCAAATTAATGTTAGTTTATTCCATATGTCAGTCCAGCGAGTGTATTTTGAGGGAATGTACCGATAGGCTTAGACTGGGAACCTAGCAGTTTCTTGCACATACAGGAGGCCCAGGGTGTTGTGATGCGCGTGGGCCAAGAACCACCCTTTGAGCACCCACTGGTGTAGTGACAAGGAATGTGATGGTGGAGCCAGACCCAGCTCTCCCTCCAGCTTCACTGGACTGTGTGATCATGGGCCAGGTGACTCACCTTCTCTAGCCTTTGGCCTCTCCATGAGGCAGTACCTCGTCAGGAAATGGTGAGGATTAGGTAGAGGCTGCATCTGGACTTTTACATTAGGGCCAGGCACAGTGTAAGTACACAGTATACGGCAGGAGCCGTAACTAATGAATCCACATTAATCACTGCTTCATGTAACTACCTTCCAGAAGGCTTTCATTCTACATTTCAGTAAGTCATGTGCAAATGACAGGCTGGTTGGTGTAGCATTTCTATTGGTGGCACCTGAAAGTGTCATAACCCGTTACTGGGTCTGTTACAGATCGCTCCAGCTGAAGCACCAGATGCTAAAGTGAGGATGGTGATTATCACTGGGCCACCGGAGGCTCAGTTCAAGGTATGTGCTCTGGAGTGTGTGCACAGGTAACAAATGAATGGATGTCTTCTTTTCGGGAAATCCATAACCTGGCTTCTCCTGTAAAAAAATCTAATACTCAGTAGAAAGAATCTCTCAATGGAAATTTCTAAGACTAAGAACAGAGTAGAAACATACCGCAAATTACACTTTAAAAATAAACCAAAGCCTTTGGTTAATTTTGAGAGTTCTGTAATGGTTGTTGGTTTTGACTATCTCCCAAAGGAGAATTTGCTCAATGCCCTGTTAGCATGTGTGAAGGTGAGACCTTAAGACTGAAATTTACAAGTCTGATTCATATGCCTTGCTGTTCTCAAGTTTTTCCTCTTGTCCCAGAGAGGCCTCAACCTTGAATTAAAATGTCCCCGTTTGCTCTTACCCTTGGGTTAGCCGTTAGCCCTTGTCCACAGTCGGTCAACAAGCCACTCTAATCTTTTGAATTTTAGAGGTAGAAATGGCAGGAACTCTTAACAGCATTTGTCCTGGTGTGAACCATTGGTCATACTGGGGTTTGGGGCCTTTGGGGCTGGAATGCCTCCCACCATGTCCTGAGTGGTGGTGTAGCAGGGTGATGAAGAGCAGAGACCTGGTAGCCAGGTTGCTGGTTCAAAGCCCAGCTTTACCATTTACCAGTGGTGTGATCTTGGGCAAGTTACTTAGCCTTTCTCTGCCTAGTTCCTCATCTATAAAATCGGGGTTAAAAACACCCACAAAGTTTAAATAAGGTTTAAACAATATATGAATTGCTTAGAATAGTGCCTGACACAGGAAGTACAACATAAATGTGCTGGTGGTGGTGCTGAGCAGACTTGGGATGAATCAGACTAAGACCCTGCCAGATCCTCAAATTCACAAACGTATACCTTTGAGTATGTGATTTCTCTCATAAACTCAGTAGGGTGTCTTGTTTGTCATAGGTAAAAGCAGCTACTCAATTCAGTGCAATTTATCCAAAACTCCTGTCTTGTTCCTACCACTCAGCAGCTGTGTTAACAGGATAACTCTTTAACCTTACTTCTCTTAGCTCTAAAATGTGGCTAAGTTAACAAGTGCCCACTTCTTCCCTCCTTTAAACCATCACTTTCTTTGACCTCTATTTTTCACTAAAAATCGGAAGCTTTTTTCACTTCATTTACAGGAAGAACAGGAAACAAAAGGAGGTGCTTTGAGATGTGGGGGTACAGTTGGCTAGCCTCAAACTTGGGTCAAGAAATTTACTTCCTCATACCAGCCTTGTGGTCCAGGCAGTTCAGATCAAAACTCAGAGATGCTGAAAATTGCTTCCTTTCCCAGACTTACAGAGATAGTCACTTTTAGTTTGAAATACTAAAAGATAAATACAAACATCAATTATGGTCTTATTCTATAAATGGAATTAACTGTCTTGCAGTTTTCATAATGCTTGTATGCTGGGGAATTCAGAGTTTGTTTCCCTGTATCCTCCTATGCCTGTATTGTTCAGTTGTCTTAAATGGGACATTTAAGAAAAGCTATAATGCTTAAATGTCATTTATGTGATCAGTGATAATAACAAATAAATTATTTTATTTTAGACATCTAAGTAATAGTAAACCTCCTAACCCATATTTTTTCTTATGAATTCAAGAGCTTGTTTCGGAGGACAATGTATATCCGTTGTGTCCTTTGACTGTGTTGATAGCTACATCTGTGGCCTGAGACTGAGGATGAATGGAAGACAGGGTACTAAGATGGATTCTTTTTTTTTTTTTCCTGTAACCCCCTAAATGAGCTTATCATCTCTGCACCAGTGAAAACGTGTTCGGTACTTTTGTTTTTGTTCTCTGCTGTGGCAGCTTGTCAGATGAAACCAACTCTGACTTCTTTTTCCTTTGGTGTATACCAGAGCAAATTAATGGTTGTACATAATAGGAGAGGTTTAGTATGTATAACTTCTAGTTGTATGCAGCAAGTGACAGGATGTGTTTGACTATAACTGTCAGATGTGTATGTTAACTTGATTTTGTAGCCTTAGTCGAAGTAGAAACCATCTGGCTAAGATGAAGAAATGTTTAACTAGAAAATTCCTCGCTGGCCCATGTAGACAGCGGCTTGGCTTCTTGTGAGCCTCGCATAGGTGGCTCTGTAGTTCCTCTGCAGTCCCTTTTACTCAAGAAAAACGCAGTTACTATCTTATTGCCAACAGGAGAGGTTTTACCTTTCAAGACTGGAGAGCAAATGGTCATTTGCAAAAATTTTAGTTCGGCTGACTGCTAACTTATTGCCTTTAACCGTTTTTGTCAGAAGAATGTGGTTTAATCTTATTTTATCAATCATTCAATTGCCTCATCTGTGATGTATAGTTATTATTGTTGTCAACCTTTTCTAGGACTTCCTTACTTTTCCACCTCTTGTGCAACGTTCCACAATCTATCAAATGCAGATGTATCACTGCAAAGGTCTGTTCCAGTGGATCCGGGCCATCTTTAAAGTTAATGGACCTTTTTGCATTTCCTACATGAATGACACTGATGAGATATGTTCTCATCTGTAGGCTCAGGGAAGAATTTATGGAAAAATTAAAGAAGAAAACTTTGTTAGTCCTAAAGAAGAGGTGAAACTTGAAGCTCACATCAGAGTGCCATCCTTTGCTGCTGGCAGAGTTATTGGAAAAGGAGGCAAAACGGCAAGTACTTCAGCAAAACCTGTGCAGTGGTATGAAAGGGAAAGCGTTGAAAGGTACTTAGGAGTTCCAAGTCCCTAAATTTTGGCTAACTTATAAAAAGCAGGACCGTCTGGGCCAAGGTTTGGAGAAGACTGCCTTTTGTTCCTCCTGGGTGTTGGTGTCAGCTACCAGTGAAAGCAGTGCCTCTCTTTCAGACCACTTTGTATGGGAGAACTGTCTCATATTTATAAGGGGCATTTTGCATTTTCTGTTGTTATACATCAGCTTTTTACTTTTATTGTGCAAACACTTAATGACATGAAAAGAAACTTTAAAAAATTTCATCTACATTTATAACTTATACCTCTGTAACTGAAAAAAGCAAATGGTTTCCAGTTTCTAACACATAAAACTTCCAAGTCATTTTCAAAGCTATTTACAATTCTGAAGTGATTGAAAGTGTGTATTTTGGAATCAGATTTTCAGGGGTTGAATCTGGCTTAGTTTTAATTACCTTGAAATGGGGACAATACTAGTAAACGGATAGAATTATTAGTATTATTAGATGAGATTATAAATATAAAGCCAAAGCTCAGTATTTTGGTTACATAGTAAGGAAATGGTAATTAAAAAAAAAAACAACTCCACTTAACATGATTTGTATTTATCTCCTTCAGGTGAATGAGCTCCAGAATTTGTCAAGCGCAGAAGTTGTTGTCCCTCGTGACCAGACGCCTGATGAGAATGACCAAGTGGTGGTCAAAATAACTGGTCACTTCTATGCTTGCCAGGCAAGTGGGCTCTAGTGTGATAAGTGAGCTCTTCTGCTTCTTCCTTCTTCCTGAGTGATCCTCCTCCCATGCGTGTCCCCATGTCATATAAATATTTCAGGCTGCTTGGTGCTTAACACTTTTAATCCCCCTTTAAGCAGGTGATTTCAGAGACTCTGCTAGGAGAAACTAATAAGTATGTATCTTTAATCTTCAAAAAAGTTTCAATTTGAAGTTGTTGAAATGGAAGAGTAAATTAACTTTTGATCATACTTGATCAGGTAGAAATTTCAAAGCTCTCTCCTACTGCAGGTTGCCCAGAGAAAAATTCAGGAAATTCTGACTCAGGTAAAGCAGCACCAACAGCAGAAAGCTCTGCAAAGTGGACCACCTCAGTCAAGACGGAAGTGAAGGCTCAGGAGACAGCCCACCACAGAGGCAGATGCCAAACCAAAGACAGATTGCTTAACCAACAGACGGGCGCTGAACCCCTATCCAGAATCACATGCACAAGTTTTTACCTAGCCGGTTGTTTCTGAGGACCAGGCAACTTTCGAACTCCTGTCTCTGTGAGAATGTATACTTTATGCTCTCTGAAATGTATGACACCCAGCTTTAAAAAAAGAAAAAAATTAGGGGGTGAGGGAGGGAAAGAGAGGAGCTCTGCACTTCCCTTTTGTTGTATTCTCAGTATAACAAATATTCTAATTTTTCTTAATATTCATTCCCCCATAATGCCAGAAATTGGCTTAATGGTGCATTTACTAAATTCATCAAGTAAATAAAAATAGATTGCTCCTATGTCCAATTGTTAAAATTGGATCAGAATAGGATTATTACAAGAACTTAAATGTTAAGCTGTTAGCATAGAAAAACTGTTCTCAGTTTTATCTAACACTAACACAAATAACCTAAGGGAAGTGCTGAATGGTGTTGGCAGGGGTATTAAATGTGCATTTTTACTCAACTACCTCAGGTATTCAGTAATGCAATGAAAGCAAAATTGTTTTGTTTTTTTCTGAAAATTTTATATACTTTATAAAGATAAGTCCAACTGTTTTTTAAAAAATAAAATTAGCTAACAGGCAAATAACTGAGAAAAAAATTTTACTTCTGGCTGGTGACAGTAAAGCTGGAAAATTAATTTCAGGTTTTTTGAGGCTTTTGACAGTTATTAGTTGGAAAATCCAGTAAACGTTCAGTGATACGGAGCAGTGCCTATATTTGGAGAGCAGCAAATACCATTTATTTTTTTGTTTATGGTAGGGAAGTTTTTGATGGTACTAACAGAGCAAAGTGGCTGCAGGAGGTTTTGGAACGGCTAGTTTTAATAAATGGCTTCAGGAGACTTCAGGGTTTTTTTGTTTGGCTATGTGATTGAATGCATAAATGCTTTGTGCTTTTGACTATCACTACCTAAAGCAAGTGTATCTATGGAGACATGCAGCTCCTGTGAACTTTAAATTGATTGGCAAGAAGAAAGCTTCAGCTTGCCTTACAGGATGCTTAGTTTGCCAATATATTTCAGACCAGTTGGTCTATGCTTGGAGCAGACCCCAAAAGAATTGCTTTGTGAAGACCAATGGGGCAGTCAGACGGTGTGACAGTGTTTAAAGGCAATAAAAAGGCTACATCTCCCCGTGCCAGGCACTGTCATGAGCCTCACACTAAGCTATTTTGAAGATTTTAAGCAATGATAAATCAAGAAGAATGAAAGGCCACCTAGAATATTACATAAATTGCAGCAGGATTTCTGTATTCTCTGCAACCAGTTATTTGAAAATAAGTCAAAAGGTAGAAAAATACAAGAACAACTTTTGGAATATAATTTGAATGACTGTGATACAATAATACATTTGACCTTTGATACTGAACGCATTCGCCCATTTCCTACCTTGATGGCAAAGCCTGGTATGTACAGTTATGTGGGTGTGGGTGGTCTCCAAGGCCACACTGCTCTCAGAATTGTGTTTCTTTTGTTCATTAAATGATCACAGTCGTTATATTATACTGATCTGAAGGGCATATATAATAACCCTTAAATCATTTTGCTTCATTTGTATTTCAAGATGAATTTCTACAGACTAGGTAAGTTTTTCTGAAGATCACTGTATCCTTTAAACATTTTGAAAATGACTTGAAATGTTTTCCTAAATGTTTTCAGAAAATCAGTTTATTTTGTAGTTTTAGCCAAAAAGTGCCCTTTTTGTCACTGAATTCATCTAGCATTCATCATTTTCTTCCATACAATGAATTGCTTTAAAAAAAAAAGTAATGGACTGGCTTTCTGGTTGGATTTTGGGTAAAATGTGCTTAAGGCCAGAGCTCTTCCTCAGTATTTGATTTTTCCAACTTTTTTTTTTTAAATACAGATAGGTGCTACATTTATATCTGCCTGTTTAAATTCTGTCATGTTTCACTTCTAGCCTTCTAGTGTGGCAAATCATGTTTTACTTTCAATTAAGCATTGGTAATGGAGTATCTGGTAATACTAGGAAATAATTCTGTTGTAATTGAGTTTTGTACTCACCACATATGGATCATTCCTCATCTGTAACGTGCCCCAAATGCAGCTTCATTTTCCAGATACCTTGATGCAGAATAAAGTGTTTCATTATCAGGTGCAGCCTGCTGTGTAGTATGTAGTTTTGGCTTTATGTACTTTTGGCTTTTCAAACTAATGTGAATGTCCTGAATTTGGTCAAAGTGTAAACTTACACTTTTAGTAAGGCTATGTCAATCTCAAGGCAGGCACCACTATCTACCAGTGTCCTGACTGTGAACCTAGATAATACTGTTGCATATGAACTGAGAACTAAAGGTTTTACGTTACAGGACCAGTGGGGTGGTTATGTTTTCTGCTATATATTTTTTAAATTTTTTGGCTATACTGTTCTACAGAATAAGATTTAAACTCGGAAAACACTTTGCTAGGCCTGGGAATGAGCATTCCTAGCACTGTGGAATGAAATGCCCCCCCAAACCATGGTCAACTTTATGACCATGAAGGGGCCCTGCTGACTGGAAATTGGCACTCACCATTGGCACTTGCTGTCTGCCTCTACAAAGATTAAATCACGAGCCGCTGCAGCTGCTGACCTTCAACACCCCCTGAAAAGGAGTTCAGAGTGGAGAACAGGAATGAGGCGCTCTGGGAAAAACTGGCAGAACAGGCCTTCCGATAGATAGTTAGATATTTTCAGGAGAAGATTTTATGGGCCAGATTCTTGCTCTTCTCATACCTAGAGAAACACTAACATCATTAATGGTGACATCTGCTTTGGCTATTAAGGGGAATATTACAATTAAGAGTCAAAATGGAGTAGCTATGGTTTAAGACATCCAAGAAATAACTAGATGACACCGTGGGTGTGATTTCAGGCAAATCCTTGTATTGCTAAGAACTTGAGTTTTCTGAGCTGTGTCAGACTTGGATGCCACCAGCCGTTCTCAAAATAATGTCTGCTGGCAGCTGATAACTGCAACCTTACTTTTTGAAGGTCTCCTCTTGTAACTTACTTTTTTTTTTTTTTTTTCCGGTACGCGGGCCTCTCACTGTTGTGGCCTCTCCCATTGCGGAGCGCAGGCTCCGGACGCGCAGGCCCAGCGGCCATGGCTCACGGGCCCAGCCGCTCCTTGGCATGTGGGATCTTCCCGGACCGGGGCACGAACCCGTGTCCTCTGCCCCGGCAGGCGGACTCTCAACCACTGCGCCACCAGGGAAGCCCGTAACTTACATTTTTAGACAACGGAATTGCTTTAGATCAGACATTTAACAAAAAGAAGAGACATGTTTGATGACCAGTAGCACCTGTTACCTATGTGTTAATACCACATTAAAAGTTAAAACCTACCTCAATAAAACTAGACAACTGGCTACTTGGCTACAAGTCTCCCCAAAGCACCAGGTCCAGACTGTGTTTCAGGCTTATTCTCCTGAAAAGAAATGACGTTTATTTTCTCTATAAAAATCCCATTGTCACTCCTCCAGCTACTTCTGATTGGGTCTGTTACACCAAAATGGCAGACCAAGGGATTAAGATTTTAATCATACAAAAGACTCAGATCCAGGAATCAGGAATCAAATATTTCCAGTCCAGTGTCTATTCTCCAAATTGAGACAGGACTATGCCCTATTGTAGCAGGAAGTGGCCAGCACTGTTGCCCAGTTAGTTCCCTGAACTGGAACTGGGCAGGACTCTGGGGGGCTCCAGAGTACAAATCCTTTCTGTGTCCCCCGTTTCTTGTTTGTAGGATATAGGCTTCACTCAGCCTCCTTGACCTTCCTCCTTGACCTTCCCTGAGTTCCAAAGGGCAGATTCAAACAGTTGCTAATCAGGGAAGGGAGGGGATGCAAAAACAGGGGAGGAGCTGTCAACTAGTGGTACAGCCTTGGGGCAGGGTCCTGGTTCCACCTCAAGGAGTATGCATAACAATATCTTTGAGTTCTGCAGGAACTAAGGCCCCCACCCAGGTGAGGATGGTAACTTCAGGCTGAGTGCCAAGATTCCTGGAGCATTGTCCTGTTACGTCACTACCAATCGATCAGAAGAAAGTCACACACCCTGCAGCCCTCACCCCAAATTTTGCCTGCCTTTTCTGGGCCTGGTGATGACCATCCTGTTAGGCCTCCTGTTTGGCCCTTGTCTGTTTCAACTGCTTACAAGGTTCATCCCCCACAGGGTCCAACAGTTTCAACTAAACTGCTGTTACTACAAGGATGAATGCCAGTTTTGGGCACAGAATACCTCAATTTAGATCAGGTAGAGAGAGACTTCTACTCTACTAGGCAGGACTATGCCAACTCTCAGCAGGAAGTAGTTACAGAAGAAAGAGACCTCCACCCCAATTCCCAAGAATTATCTTGAGTATGAAGTCTCTCAGGGAGGAGTTGTTAGGGGAAACACTGAAACTGCCTGCCCTGGCCAGGCAGCATAGTAACCACTTGCATGAGTTATCTTAAACAGGAGGTCCTGGTAAGGAATGCAGAACTAACAAGATACTACCAACTGGAAGAATTCAGGAAAGGTCAAAAGGAGAGAGGAGACTTCAGTCTATATGTCCTGCCAACCTCTCAGAATCCTTCTCACTGGAATCCACCTTGGCTGAGCAATGCGTGTGCCACCAGGAAGGACCCCGAGGCAGAATGATTGGCCAGAGACAACCCAGAAATTTAACCCCATTCCCATAAAACACGAGACTGTGAGCCATGTGGTGGAGCAGTCCTCCTGGGTTCCTTTACCCTTCTGCTCTCCACCTGGGTGCCCCTTCCCAAAAAAGTAGCTTGCTTTGTCAGCAAAAAATAAAATAAAAATAAACTGAGCAGAGAGCTCAAGTAAAACACAGGGGCCAATGCAACTTCCAGGAAATCCTGCTGAGATCTCAGGAACAAAGACAATATATTAATTTTAGTTTGTACTGATTCACAGTGTGAGAATTAGCTCACTTACCTACAATTTCCATGTGTCGGTTAGGATTAGTGTCCATAGATAAGACTTGTTTTGACAACAACCAGCTAGGCAGGGTTTATAAGTGACTCAATCCAAATCTGAAATGACTAAAGCAGTTCATACCATTTTATTCACATTTAAACTCCACAGGAGCCAGAGATGAAGTGTCATCTTCTATTCCAAGAATGAAGTCTTCAGGTAAGGTCTCAGGTGCTATCTGAGCTAACTGGTCATCATAAGAACGAAGGGTCCATAATTTCTCTAATTCATACGTTTCTCTGGTTTCTGGAAGCATCAAATGAATCACCATGCTGCCTATCAAGGACAGATAAGACTTACAATGAAGAAGCAGTTCATTTGCTTTTACTCTTGTGATCTCACAAACCTCTGACAGTTAGAACAGTGGTTCTCAAAGTGTGAACCCCAGATTAGCATTACCTGAGAACTTGTTAGAAATGCAAATTGTGGACACCATCCAGCAAAAATACCACAGAAGTGACGCTGTGCTTTTCTCAGTGCATCATACAGGAGATTTATGATATCAATATGTAACATTACTCATGATGGGGTTTGCTTGGGAGACAGTCCTCCAAGGACTGTCTGCACAGCCTGTGAGCAAAACACTGACAGGCTTTTGTTCTGGACTATATTTTTAAGGATGTTGGCAAATATTCTCAGAACTGCTGTCTCCCTCTGGATCAAAGCCACAAGTATGCTTACAGCAGTGGTTTTCAATAAGGGACATTTTTGATTTTCACAGTTGGGGGGGTGGAGAAGAGAAGAACATCCTACAATGCACAGAATATTCCTCAGCACCTGAACTACCTGGCCAAAAATGTTAATAGTGGCAAGGCTGAGAAACCCTGACATATAGCCTTGGCCGAAAAAGTGTTTTCCACCAGAGCAAATGCAGGCCTGCTTCCTGCCCATTATAAAAGATGTAGATACCCTCATCTCAGGGCTCTTCTCTTAGAACTTCACAGGTGTCATCTGGTCCTGTGTTGCTCAGGGACCCTGGTGCAAAATGGTGCTTGATGCTGGCTACTACTGTTGCTGAGTAACAAACTGTGCTTCATCAAACCTTGACTAACTTGTTAGCTTACACGTAAGATAAAATCTCAGACCCTTCACAGTTCTTCAGTTACTGTTTTTCCCTTTGTATTAACTATCTTTTGGGGAAATACTTTGAAACTATGTATGTATTAATACCCAAATTTGTTAAATCTTTTCAAAATTCTAGTCCTCTGCTCCTGTCCTTCCCTGTGCCCAGAATGCCCTTCACCTTATCTGAGTTATTTAAGGCCGAGGTTATGTGTACCCCAAGGTGCCTTCCACCACCACTAGGGGATCTCTCCCATGTTATCCATCCTGTTCTCCATCAGCTTTCTGACCTGTATGGCAACTTACATACATACCATGTGACATGAGGATTTCACATGTGAATAAGACCAACTAAGTTATAAGAAAACCTATTTTAGACACACTTCAAAAATTGTATGCGGAGATAATAAGAACCTGCTGTATAAAAAAATAATATTCTCAAGTTAAAAAGAAAAATGTATGTGGAGAAACACAGATCTCAATCCTTTTACAACTGAAAACAGTTCAAGATTAGTGCAATATCAAATATTTATCTGTAGAATGTGCCAAAATAACTTACCAAAGTCCACACAGAGCCAGTCATCTGTGTCCTTCCCTTCGATCTTAACATGAGGCTCACTTTTACGTTTCAGGTATTTGTACTGAAAAAAACCAGATCACATATTAAAGGGGAAGAGGATAGGGGAAATCTCTGTTCTTATTGAGCGTCTGGGGGTATTTTTCTTGGTCTTAATTTGGCAACTAACTTATTCATTCCTCACAGCTACACCATGCCCCTTAATATAAACATACGGAAACTTTTTTCCCCCTTAAATCCTACCCACCTCCTATACCTGTCTCCTGAATCCTCCTGCCCAAACCCTTCTGACAGGGCCAACTCACTCATTTACCAAGGTGCCTCAGAGGCGGGCCTAAACTCTCTCAATATCCACTTCTCACATACATCATCCCTTCTGTCCATCCCAGCTTCCTTTCCCTCTCAGGGGAGACAGATGCTGCCTTCCTGTTTTAAGGCTAGTGTTCTCAGTTTTAATGATTCCATCTCATCTACTTTCATGACAATGTTAATGGGATTTTATCATCCCATAATCTCTTTTCCCAGCAGATTCCATGAATGGTCTAAAACAACAAATACACTAATGTTAGAAAAAAATACTATTACAAGACAAGGACATTATATAATGATAAAAGGGTCAACCAACCAAGATGACATAACAATTAGAAACATGCACCAAAAATCAGAGCTAACCCAGTAATATAGCAGACTCAATACCCCATTTGCATTAATGGATGGAGGATCAATAAGGAAATAGAGAACTTGAACAGCACTACAGACCAATTGAACCTAATGGACATTAACAGAACATTCTACCCAACAACAGCAGAATACACACTTTTCTCAAGTGCACGTGGAACATTCTCCAGGATAGATCATATGTTAGGCAACAAAACAAGTCTTAATAAATTCAAAGATTAAACTCATATAAAGTATTTCTGATCACAATGAAATGAACTAGAAATCAACAGAAGCAAAACTAGAAAATCCACAAATATGTGGAAATCAACTGTTTTATTACCTTAAACTGATCAAAGAAGAAATCACAAGGGAAATTAGAAAATATCTTGAGACAAATGAAGTTATAGAATGCAGTGAGAGCAGCAATAAGAAGGAAATTTATAGCTGTATGTGCTTACATGAAAAAAATAGTTCCCAAATCAACAACATGAATTTATATCTTAAAGAACTAGGAAATGCACCATCAAAAAATCGACAAATAATAAATGCTAGAGAGGGTGTGGAGAAAAGGGAACCCTCTTGCACTGTTGGTGGGAATGTAAATTGATACAACCACTATGGAGAACAGTATGGAGTTTCCTTAAAACACTAAAAATAGAATTACCATATGACCCAGCAATCCCACTCCTGGGCATATATCCAGAGAAAACCATAAGTGAAAAAGACAGATGCACCCCAATGTTCACTGCAGCACTATTTACAAAAGCCAAGACATGGAAGCAACTGAAATGTCCATAGTTGGAGGAGTGGATAAAGATGTGGTACATATATACAATGGAATATTACTCGGCCATAAAAAAGAATGAAATAATGCCATTTGCAGCAACATGGACCTAGAGATTATCATACTGAGTGAAGTAAATCAGACAGATATCATATGATATCACTTATATGTGGAATCTAAAAAAATGGTACAAATGACCTTATTTACAAAACAAATAGAGTCACAGATATAGAAAACAAACTTATGGTTATCTGGGGGGAGGGGGGATAAATTGGGAGATTGGGATAGACATATACTGTAGATACTATATGTAAAATATATAACTAATAAGAACCGACTGTAAGAACTAATAAGAGTATTGAGGGAACTCTACTCAATACTCTGTAATGACCTATAGGAGAAAAGAATCTAAAAAAGAGTGGATATACGTATAACTGATTCGCTTTGCTGTACAGCAGAAACTAACAACACTGTAACTCAACTATACTCCAATAAAAGTTAATTTAAATAAATAAATGCTGGAGAGGATGTGGAGAAAAGGGAACCCTCCTACAGTGTTGGTGGGAATGCAAATTGGTACAGCCACTATGGAGAACAGTATGGAGGTTCCTCAAAAGACTAAATATAGAACTACCATATGAGAGACTTCCCTGGCAGTCCAGTGGTTAACACTGCAGGGGTGTGGCTTCAATCCCTGGGTGGGGAACTAAGATCCTGCACACCATGCGGCATGGTCAAAAAACCTACCTTAAGAGATATAGATATATAAAGATATGGATAGATATATAGATATAGATGTATATAGAACTACCATATGATCCAGCAAGCCCACTCCTGGGCATATATCCAGAGAAAACCATAACTCAAAAAGACACATGCATCCCAATGTTCACTGCAGTGCTATTTACAATAGCCAAGACATGGAAGCAACCTAAATGTCCATTGACAGAGGAGCGGATAAAGAAGATGTGGTACCTATATACAATGGAATATTACTCAGCCATAAAAAAGAAAGAAAGAATGCCATTTGCAGGCACATGGATGGACCTAGAGATTATCATACTAAGTGAAGTCAGACAAAGACAAGTATCATGATATCGCTTATATGTGGAATCTAAAAAAAAATGGTACAAATGAACTTATTTACAAAGCAGAAATAGAGTCATAGATTTAGAAGACAAACTTATGGTTACTGGGGGGAAAAGCGGGGGGTGGGGTGGGCGGGGGTGGACAAATTGGGAGATTGGGATTGATACATACACACTACTATATATGAAATAGATAACTAATAAGGACCTACTGTATATAGCACAGGGAGCTCTACACAATACTCTGTAATGATCTATATGGGAAAGGAATCTAAAAAAGAGTGGATGTATGTATAACTGATTCACTTTGCTGTATACCTGAAACTAACACAACACTGTAAATCAACTATAGTCCAATAAATATTATAAAATAAAAAGAACTAGGAAATGAACAAATTAAACTTAAAGCTGGCAGAAGGAAGAAGTCAATGACCAAATTAAAACAAAATAGAAAAAATCAATGAAACCAAGATTTCATTTTTCAAAAAGATCAACAAAATTGATCAATAAACCCCCAGATAACTAAAATCAGAAATGAGTGAGGAGACATTAGAGACACAACAAACTGGAAAACCTAGAATAAATGGACAAATTCCTAGAAACACACAACCTATCAAGACTGCATCATGAAAAACAGAAAGTATGAATAGCCCTATTCAATAATAGCAACAGGATTGAGTCATTAATCAAAAACCTCCCAACACAATTGTATCTCAAACGAAAGGGTGGGGTATAGAGAAAAGAACACACAGAGAAGAAGGAAGGAAAAAAACCTCCCAACAAAGAAAAGCCCTGGACCACACAGCTTCTTCACTGGTGAATTCTACCAAATACTTAAACATAAGCTCACATCAAATTTTGCTAAAACTCTTCCAAAAAACTGAAGAGGCGGGAACACTTCCTAACTTATTCTATGGGAGTGGCATTAACCTGATACCAAGACCAGACAAAGACTCTATAAGAAAACACTACAGGCCAATATCCTTGATGAATACTGATGGAAAACTCCTGAATGAAATACTAGCAAACCTAATTCAATACTGCATTCAAAAAATTATATATCAACACCACATGGGATTTATTTCTGGAACGTAAGGATGATTCCATATGAAAAAACCAATGTAGTGACTTCCCTGGTGGCACAGTGGTTAGGAATCCACCTGCCAATGTAGGGGACATGGGTTCGAGCCCTTGTCTGGCAAGATCCCACATGCCATGGAGCAACTAAGCCCGTGCGCCACAACTACGAGAGCCTATGCTCTAGAGTCCATGAGCCACAACTACTGAGCCCACGTGCCACAACTACTGAAGCCCACGCGCCTAGAGCCTGTGTTCCGCAACGAGAAGCCACCGCAATGAGAAGCCTGCACACTGCAACAAAGAGTAGCCCCCACTTGCCACTACCAGAAACAGCCCACGCACAGCAATAAAGACCCAACACAGCCAAAAATAGATTGATTAATTTAAAAAATCAATGTAATAAACCACATTAACAAAATGAAAGACGAAAACCACAGGATCATTTCAAATTTATGCAGAAAAAGCATTTGACAAAGTTCAATACCCTTTCATGATAAAAACTCAACAGAGATAAGCAAAAAAACCCCAAACCTACCTTAAGGTAATAAAGGCCATACATGAAGAGCCCATGGAGATTAGCTATCATCATACTTGATGGCAAAAAACTGAAAGTTCTTCCTCTCAGATCAGGAATAACACAAGAATGCCCACTTTTGCCACCTTCTACTCAACACAGTACTGGAAGTTCTAGCCATGGCAATTAGAGCAAGGGAAAACAAAAGAAAAAAGTAACAAAATTGGATAGGAAGAAATAAAATTGTCTCAATTTGCAGATGACATGCTCTTTATACATAGAAAACCCTAGGGCTTCCCTGGTGGCGCAGTGGTTAAGAATCTGCCTGCCAACGCAAGGGACACGGGTTCGAGCCCTGGCCCAGGAAGATCCCACGTGCCACAGAGCAACTAAGCCCGTGCACCACAACTACTGCGCCTGCGCTCTAGAGCCTGTGAGCCACAACTACTGAGCCTGCATGCCACAGCTACTGAAGCCCGTGCGCCTAGAGCCTGTGCTCCACAATGAGAAGCCACTGCAATGAGAAGCCCACACACCACAACGAAGAGTAGCCCCCGCTCACTGCAACCAGAGGAAGGCTGTGTGCAGCAATGAAGACCCAACTCAGCCATCAATAAATAAATTAATTTTTTTAAAAAAGAAAATATTTCTATTTACAATAGAATCAAAAAGGATAAAATACTTAGAAATAAACATAACCATGGAAGCAAGACTCATACACTGAAATACAATAATCTGTATCCATGAATTGGAACACAATATCATTAATACTTTATCTACAGATTCAATACAATCAACCTCTATCAAAATCCCAGTGACTTTTTTTTGTAGAAATAGAAAAATCCATCCTAAAATTTATATGTAATCTAAAGAGACCCCAAATAGCCAAAAACAATCCTGAAAGGGAAGAGCACAGTTGAAGATCTCAAGTTTCCTGA